CACGAAAGGATGCAGTGTTTTGAGGGATGAGCATGTGGCTTAGTCAGTCCACGGTATTTATGAGTGGATAACAAATAAAGATGAACTTTAAAGACCGATGCCTTGGCATTCCTTGTGCATGTCTATATGAATCTCTGAAGGTGTAAATATTATTAGAACACGGCTTAAAACCTACTTTTGTGTTTCAACATTTAACCATTTTCTTCATCTATTTTTTCTGCTTTTAACCAATCTAACTTTAAATAATGGGATGTGATTAAGAATCAGGTCAGCTTCTGAAATGACTCCAGGCAATATTTGGTGGTCGGGTGAATATTTGTTGAATGAGGAGCGACAGTCTTTGCATCTATTTTTCAAAGAGGCTGTGAAATGGCATTTTATTTCCCTGACATTGCAGAGTATGACAGGAGGTCAGGCTGAAAATCTATTCTCACATGGTCTATTGTAAACATCCCACTGCTGTCTATGTTATATAAATTTAATCACATACCAATTCAAATTGAAAGGTGAATGTTGTATCAGGAACCCTACAAATCATGTTATGAAATACCAGTGCATTAAGCAATAATAATCTAAACTCTATAACAAACTTCAAGGACACCATCACTGCAGTGTGCAGAGGATTGTTGTTTATATGTGTTGTTTATATTCTGGGTGTGAGCGATAATATAATTTAATGTACTTTTCAAGAAAGATAAGAGGTCTCACCTTATTTCTAGGTCTCTAAAAAAGGTCAATTCCTTTTATGGGAAAAGTTAAAAAATTAAGCAATTTCTTACTTCCTCTGCATTTTCTTGGATTGCACCTTTTATTATGACTTTCATAAATATTATTGGTAATTGCATTCAGCTATATCACCCTTCAACTCACAACTGGCAGCCCACTGAAGCTCAGCAGGTGTGTACCTGGGTGGGAGACTGGGGAAAAACTATGGTTGCTGGTGGAAGAGGTTTTAGTGGGGCCAAGAGGGGTTGTTCATCCTGTGGTCTGTGTGGGTCCTAATACCCTGAATAGTGATGGGGACACTATACTGTAAAAAGACACCATCTTTTGTATGAGGAGTAAAACCGAGGTTCTGACTCTCTGCGGTCAGTAAAAATTCCAGCGTGCTTCTTGAAAAGATTAAGGGTGTTACCCCGGTGTCCCTGTCTCTGAACTGGCTTCATCACTCTGCTCTCCTCCCCACTGAGTGAATGTACTGGTGCATTATTGCTGCTATCGCATCACCCAGGTGTGGGTACACTCTGGTGGTGGAGAGGAGTCCCCATTATTTGTAAAGTGCTTTGAGTTTAGTGTCCAGAAAAGCGATATATTGATTAAGTTTAAGGATTATTTACTGTTTGTTTATAATTAAACAACAGTTTAGAAATTAATTAATACATTTTATTTCATGTGTCAGAGTGACTTTAAAATCCTGCTGCATCTCAGAGTGTCCTGGGACAGTGTTGTTGTGTTTATATCATACACACTCAAACAGCACGTCCTTGGAATTTCACAGGTCTGAGCAGCATTCCTTCCATTAAAGGCTTGGAAGTGCTTGAGTGGCTGTGAGAGATGGGGAGAACCACCTAACTGTAAGATGCCCTCATAAATATTAAATGGCACTAAATATGTGGTGACTTTACTCAGATGTGCAACCACTAACAAACTTCCCACTCCAAATTAACACTCCACCCACCCAACATCAAACAAGCACCAGTTTTCCACACAGTGACTCATGTCTGTAAAGCAGCAGACACAATCTGAGCAGCTGGATCTGGGCTGGGTTGCTCTGAGATGGGAAGATCTGCCTCCTTCCACAAATCCCAGTCATACCCTAACATTCCTGCGCCAATACATTAGACTTCACATCACCTCCTTTAGACTACCTTTCCATGTCCTATGGCTTTTAATTCAGTTGTAACCCAGTGGACAGCCTTACATTTCTGGAAAAACAAAATTTTTATTCCTTCCTTGTTGTTCTCTACTGCTCTCTCTGCCATGAGTGTTTTTTTTAATCACGTTTGGCAACAAATCAAGGGTCCTGGACATTTGTTTCCTAGCAGTTGTTTGCGATTGGCTTTTCATTAAATCTACTAGACGGCTCTGGTGAGAATACATTCCTTTAGCTGTCCTCTGGAGCGTCAAACATTTTTATGTGCCATTTTTCCCTTTTTATATTTGTAATAAGAAAAAGGAGAAGCTGCTACATGGATCATTTAATGAGAATCTATCCAAACTCAGTTTTGTAGTGAAAATGGCCTATTCCAACCCTCATTGATAACTCATCCATATCTACAGTACATTGCACCTCAGTCATTTCAGTGACCTTCACAATGCATAAAGAAAACACAGGAAGCATTCTTGACCTTATGTTATGAAAGGTTTCTGGGTTACATGCCATGTTCAGCAATATGAAAGCACTCACTATGCATAATGGACAAGGCTACTGCTTTCCCAAGCTTTAGATAAGGTCAGGTTGTTGAAGATTGAGGCCTGTTCTTTGCCAGCTAGGGAAGAGGCTTGGAAGTCAGTTTTTACCAACAATGATAACAGCAAATAATGAAGAAAAGCGATTGATGTGACTTCAGAAATATTAAAGTTTCTCTTCTTGTATTTTATGATAGTAAAGGAAACATCACTGACATGGCATACTGTATATGAAAGCTAAAGGGTTGATATATTTTCACAGTATTGAACTTCCATATGGATGTACAGTATCAGAAAGGTACAGTATTCTGTTTATCCATAGAGAAAAGGTCTTTGATAATCCTACGGGTGAGCTTCAGTCAGTACACCAGGCTGCAAGGGCACATGTGTAATGTGCTTTTTATAAGCTATTACCTCAAACACACCAAACCACAGGCCACCTCCTGTTGTCCTAGTGTTAATCAAAGCACAATCACAAAATAAACCCTACGTGTAGCAACAGATTAAAACCTTTTGCTGATATACATGTGATATGCACATGGAAAATGAATTATATTGTTTTACTGCTTTACTGCTTTAGAGTGAAGTTAAAATGATATTAATAACTATTAAGAGCCCCATCTACTTTTAATTTGTTTTGGATATGTTCGCATGCACGCAGTTTTGTAATGGGTTGTATCTCTCTGCAGCACCACCCTTCAGTGCACAACTTAGATCATGTAATTCCAGTGGTGTGGTTTAACAAAGATATGAAGGGTCATAGAAAAGGCTGCGATTATTTTTAAAATTACCTTTCAGACCCGCTGGCAGACTACCCAGAATCCTTCAGTGTATTGCAATTGACACCATACTGTGGGATGTTGTTGGCCCCTGTTCTGCACTGACTATGTGACCGCCTCCAGGTTACCATGAAACGGTGTGGCCATAATGCAGAAAACGCACTGGCTGGAATATTTTGAACCCATGATGCTTGTTTAAATTTCATCGCCTTCTGTTTCCTTTCATGTTTCAGTGTAATACATAAATGTCTCCACAGCAGTCATGGACACCTTCAAAAACTCTGTTATTTGCTTAAGCGATAAATTATAAACATTGTGGCTGTACACATCATATTTAAACAATCAACAGTGACAACTACTTTTTTTTTGCATTCAAATTATGCCATCGTCCTGTCAAATATATTACAGATCTCACATCAGGATGGGACCATCTGCTTTCAAAGGGATGAACAATCAAGCGAGCTTAACTGTTTTCTCATACTGTATAGTGGCTCATAGCCAGCAGCTGCAATCCTAGAACTACATTATATTCAGTCCAAAGCTTATGTGGAAACACTGAAGACTGCAAACTCTCTCTGTTTTGGTGGACTCCGGAGAAGTTTTGGGAATCTACTTGGGAATCATGCAAAGAAGATCCATTTCATCATGTGAGGGCTAAGATTTTGTTTATATGGGCAACAGCCCTCAGAGAGCTAGGAGAGTGAACATGCTGTGGTTCTGTAATGGGTAATGTTCAGATTGCTCATCTCTGACTATTCTCCCACTGAGACCCTGTCTTAAAAAGAAAGATTGTTTTTAAAATAAACATGTTTAGAAATATATAAATATAAATCATACCTAAATAATAGAAATACTGATAATTAACCGAGGGACAATAACAGCCAGGAATTGGATACTCTGTGAATGTTTGGATTATTTGGTGGGATATGTTTGTTCTAACCTGCCTGGTTAAGGAGCAGCCTCCTGGCCACAGGACGAGGAGACTCAAACCCCAGTCTCGAACCTCAGTTAATCACTTCTGTTAAAAGACAAACACAAAAGTATTCTAGACTGATCAAAACTAAGAACAATTATATTTAAAAAAAATCTGCACACTGATAGCCACCAACCAGACACAAATGTATTTGCTAGGTGTAAAATTGAAGCTTGAACTCAGCATGATGCAATGGAATGAAATGAAATCAGATTCTTTGCTCATTGATCGTTAAGCAACCTAATAAGCCAGATGGACTGAAAGACCTCCTGTATCTGGAACATTTCTTGTGTTCTAATTCTTTAGCACATTTACTGTAGGCGTGCAGGTACAGGTGTGACCAAACAGGTGTGCTTCTGTGCTTTCTCTCTCCAGTAAGCACTGGTTGTTAGTAAGCAAGGATGGCCCCGCTGTAATCATAACCTGTCACCAACATCTGACCCCCCTGACTGCCAGGCTTGCTCACAAAGTCCAAATTTAAACCTAACATATATTTCCTGATGCCAGATTTTACTTTACAGTGTGCACGCATTTTTACAGATTTTTTTTAAAAAACGATTGTTACTGTTGGTAAAAAAAAAGGTCTATCACACATAATCTAAAAACACAACGAGAAAATAATAACCTGGAAAGTGATGTGCTTCATACCATAGGTTTTAAGGTATAACAGCTTGTTTAACCCTGAGATTAACTTTTTTGTTAGCAAAATGAAATGCATATATTGTGTATATATAATGCATGTGTGACCATTGCCTTGAGCCTTGGTAAGAAACAAACTAATTCCCTGGAGACTGAATTCATATTCAGATAATCTTTCCAGATAGTTACCACCTCAATCTGTGCAGCGCTCCTTCAGACGTGCTCAGTGTGCTACCACACTGCTGTTCTTAGCCAGCGCAGAGGGGAGGTCGGGAGACTGGTTTCCACACACAAGTCCACCACACCGCTTCCAGTGAGAGTCAGCCCCCAAACCCCGGTTGCAGGACTCAGGTTTTGGTCATCGTGCAGCGTTGGGGATCAGGCAAGTGGTCGGAGTGCAGGTCTAATCAAGACGCTACCGTGAGGTGCTTGGCGCAGAGGCTTGGGGGATGGGACAAGTGTGGACACGAAGCCTTTTCTGATTATTTTGCATGGATGGCTAAGGAGAAAAGAGATCTGCTCTGAAAACCGGCCTCTCTTCATTTTGAGTAAGTGCATTTTATTTTCTTTAATGCAAACGACGTGTGGCAGAAGACGGTCCATATTTTGTAATGTAGTTTTTTTTTTATTTGTCTTGCTTTTAGCGTTAAACGATTAAGAACTGGGAATACATTGAGTAGCACAATGCACATTAAAAGTAGATTTTTTTAAATCTGATTCAACTGTTTTTGAGTAAGGGATCTAATAAACATCAGCGAGAGATGCAATCTTTAAAACGCTAACATCTCTTGAGTTCGGGTGCGTTTTTATGTAGAGTACATTACCATCATGCAACACTTCATAATTTCTGCCTGGGAATACAGTTAACAAGCCGCTGTTTATTCACACCAAATGCTTCATTTTTCGTTTTAGTTCGCTTAATAAATACGGCTCAGAGCCGTTTCGCCGGATTATCTGGGGGGGAGAGCCAAAAAACAGCTGTATTATCAGATCAATTCAGTTCTGAGTATGTCTCCCAAATCATCCCGTTGTCATGGTGACCGCGCTATGAGGTTGAGTAATATGGCTGCATCTCGGCTCTGGTCGAGTACAGTTGATTAATGTTTTTGTCCTGTAGCACTTCTTCCCCCAAGTGTCGGTTCGGGTTTTTGCTCCGGGAGGGTGTCGTTTCCGAAGTGGAGAGTCCACTTTTTCGGGGGAACAGGTGCATCAGCGGGACTCAGCCTCTTCACAAAAAGCTCAAATGCTTCCCCTCCCCTGTGGTCTTAATTATTATATTTACGTGTCTAGCCTAATTTTATAGGACTGCTAATCAATTTTGGGAGCAGACTGTGCATATAACACAAGGGCAAATGAAGACGGCTAGCCTGTGATGAAGCTTGGCAATCCATTGTTACCCTTCGCAACGTAAAGAAACGCCAATGAAAGCAGCCCAAATAGAGGTGTCAGACAGCCAGACAGCTCCGTTTAGAAAAAAAAGAAAGACAGGCTAGACACGAGGTGCCAAATTTCACTTTTCTTCCTTGTCTGACTGGCTCTTTTTACGACGCTAAATTAAAGTGAAAATATCAACGTTACGGGGAAATGCGCATTGCTGCAGAAAACATGCTTGAAAGTATTACATGCAAACCTTATTGTAATGTTTGATTACACTATGCATTCTAGTGTGTGACCTTGAAGCTGTAAACGTGACTGATAGAAATGATTAATGATGCTCCATGGCTTTTAGCAAGCACTAGCAATTCACTTTAAATTGCATAAAGGTATGATTTGATGTATGGCTTTTGAAAAGTGTGCTAGCTGCTAAATTAATAGACTGAAGGGTGACTGAACTGCATCAGTAGCAGGGGATGCTGCTATTGTTTTATTTCATTCATTGTTTCTATTAAAATATATCTACTCTATATACGGTGCTATGCATGCATATATGTGTATATGCAGGTGTATAACATATAAGATATTCTGTATAGCAAAACCGAATGCACAAGCACCTTACCCTACTTATCTACCCCTCCATATATTGTACTGCATGTAAGTAACTCTCTAATGAATAAGGTTAGTAGGTCATCTTGCTCATTATGGCAGAATGCACTGCTCTCTAAATTGAAAATGCAGCATCAATAAATTATGTGACCGCATAATGTATAAAGACAACAATTTCTTTGTTAACTACAGAAGAAAACGTTTTGAAAATGAACATTTGCAAAATAAAATACCCATTGGTGCTGTACACTGATATACTGCACTATATATTTTGACCCTACCCTTCTATTACAGGTGATCAGTGTGTCTGCTTGAACATCACTGTCAGGGTGTGTATATTTTAAACAATCTTTATATAAGCAACAGTTATTGCTTATATAAAGCAATGCCACCTGCCTTCCAGAAACATGCCGGAGAAATGAGGTGACGTCTGTCGTCCTGCATTAGTCCTGCCGCCCGTACAGGCTGGCTTCCCGTTCAGGATCGGCTCTCACCTTCCACACTATGCTTCCGGGAGACACTCCAGCTTCCAGCACCCTTTCCAGGAATAACTGGTGGCTCGAGGAGCAGACTGAGTGGATGCACTGTTTACACACACACGCACTTCCACATTGATCCAGTGTACTTCATATTGCTCAATATTGATCCATTCCGTGTCACTGAATTCTAATTCTAACATCAGCAAAACTGGCAAATTTCCACAATCGTCGATTTTAAATCAGAACAGCGTTGTAATGCACAGTAAAATCCTCAAATAAGGGTGTTTAAATTGTGAGACGTTCTTAAACAGACTGCAAGAGAAAATATCAGCAACACTGCCATAAACGTGCCTATATATTTCTAAAAATGCCAGTTTCATTTTACAGTATACCTTAGCTTGTGTCAACTACTGTTATTTTATAAACCGAAAACATATTTTATATTGTTAGAATTTTGATTCAGGATCACCTTGAAAAAGTTGAGCAAAAGAAAAATAGGTAAATACGTTTTTAAAAAACAAACAGACTTAATAAAAATAAAGAGCATTTCAAGGACTATGGCTATACAAAACCCAACCAGCAAGCAGATGAACTTCACGATCTTATGCTCTTGGGAAGTGTAGGTTCTTCCTGCTTGTAGACCTTTAAATAACGTTGCCAATATCAGAAGTTACAGCATTTAAGTTTTTTCGCTGGTTGACTGACCACATACAGAAAGACAGTTCTGGCAGTGGTCATTTTTGGGTTTTGGATTTCAGAATGGTCACTAATTTCATAATGACCTCTGAAACTTTATATGAATGTGCCAGTGTTCAGCACATGGAGATGCAATAAAAAAATATGTACAGTAAACACATTTTTGTGATGAGGAATGAAACAAAGAAACAGTTGTGCTAAAGCCTGGGAGCTAAGTGAGATGCAAGCAAGCAAGATTATAGCCACTGAAAGATTGTTATTGAACAGGTAAAAGCATAAAGAGGGGGAATCTGTATTACTGGTTCTCCTGCAGAAACCAGAGAGAGCAGGAAAACTGGATGAATTTATAGATCCACCTTTTTCCAGACTAACTGCAGCCCGGCACACACACAAGAAAACACTGTCTTACACTAAAACCAAGCTCGGTCGGGAGTTTTCATCGTTTTGTCGAAGACGCGAGGGTGGTCTTCAGGAACACAGAAAACCCATATCAGAAGATGGTATAATTAGGGCTCCTTGACACTGGCTATGTTCATATATTATATAACTCATAGCAAAAATCCATTCATCTGTTTTCTAACAGGTGAAACTAAATCAGGGCTGCAGGGGATCAGGGGAGCCGGAGCCTGTCCCAGGAAGCAGCGAGTGCAGGGCAGGACACACCCTGGATGATATGCCAGTCCATGGCAGGGTACACTCATAGCAATAACATTTACAATAATTCTGTATTTCAGTTTTATTGTAAGTCTGCGTCATGAGGCCTTTTATTAAAAATGGTCTTTTTGCAAAGATCAAATCAAAAACAGTTGGTCTTTGTGCCCAACGATGCAGCTGTGTGTCAGTCAGCTATGTGGTCTTGCCCCACCTTGCCTCATGGTGAAGCAGAGCCTGTAGAGAGGGTCAGAGTCTTTCCCTCTTAGGTATCTCGGTATTAATAGCCAGCAGATTTCTTCTGGTTCCCTCTTAGTTTTCCTTCTTGCAACCCCTGCCGTAGTCATGTGTTTTCGCAACACAACTTCAACACTGTTGCTAAAGCTTCTAAAGGAATAGATGCAACTTGATGGGTGGGTTGTGTTTTGAAGGAACGGCTGAGATTTTTTACAGGCTTCTCCTGGTGTGGAATCCAGGGAATGATATTCCCCTTGTGGGGAAGTGGGTGATCTTATGGCCACATGCTGCAGGTGCTGTGATGATATGTGACAGTGCCTCCTAACCTGTTCTGTTTGAAAAATCTCCTGCAAGATTGCTGCCCATGTTTCATTGCAACAAACATGTCAGTAAAGCCTGCCATTACAGAAATGAACCCTTGCAGGGTAGTGAAAACTCAACCCACACGTGATGTAACTGAGTCTGGCCATTATCTTTCTCCCCTTCACTTCTCACACTCCTGGACCAGACTTGAAGCACACAGCCAGCCATTCCTGCTTGAGCAAGGCAGCCCAGGCAATGCTAGGGCAGTCTCCTGCTCCGACCCTCACCCGAACAGCTTCTCCTGCACTGGCCCCCAGGGACGATTGCGTCCACATGTTTGTGTTCATTAGGGCTCCTGGAACTCCAGAGAATCCTTGGGTCCTCTTCTGTCTTTGGGAAGTGCAGCTGAACCCGCCCAGCAGAGCGTGGGATGGCACACATAATTATGAATGGGTATCTGAATGGAAAAAAATACACAACTGTGAGTTTAGAGAAAACTTTTATAGCAGTTAAGTTAAAGTTTTGAAATACTGTACTTTAGGCTTGTATTAATGGGGGGGGGGGGGGTTATTACCCCAGGCTAACTGTAATTAGCCACTCACAAAATATACTGTCGTCCCAGGTGCAACCCAGCATGCACGCACGATGCAGCATTGTACATTTATCAGATGAAGTAGTAAAATGGTGCGCTCCCTGATTGATTCCAGTCCAGAACATGAGACCAATGAGACGCGTGTGCACAAGGCAGTCAGTTGTCAGTCAGGATATTTTCCAAGCCAAGGGCCCTTCGTTTTATGCTACTTGAAGTGTTCCTGTTCCTGCTGCCTCTCTGCTACAAAAAAGCCATCTGTTTTCTTTTAGAATTCGATCTGTGATACTCTTTATATCATGGCAGTTATTAAGAACCATTTATTTTTAATCTATGGCTTTACATAATTGTACTTCCATATTACAAAGCAAATGGAAAATGTACTGGAAAATGAATTCCCTTCAAGGAAAACACATTTTTAGGCATCATTATTTCTTATCATCAGTCAAAAATGTGTGGTGCATATTATTCACCGTAAATAAGAAAATCAATGTCAAATATAATTAAATACTGTATTTTAATTAAGGATTCCTGTTTGATTTTGAGTTTATCAACTCCAAAATGAAACAAATACATAAACTGGATTTTTTTTTTACAAAATGAAAATTGA